TCCTAGTTAATTTTGACACTGATAACAAATTAAATATAAAATCTGGTACATGTAACACATTAGTGATCCCGTACTTCCCTAGTATCTCTATGCTCCCTGTATTAGCTATGTGTGATCTCCCTCTAGTTGGCACTTGTACTTTATTATTCTGTAGCTTATTTATGTGTCTAAGTTTTTGTTTGGTGTGAGGCACTTGAAACCACTATCCATTCACAAGTATATTTATTGGATGGTAATGAAACAGTACCTGCCATTTTGCTACTGCATCCATCTTGTGGGGATTTATTCAGCAATCCCATTAGTTGTGAATATTCCTCTTTTGTAAAGAAGTGTCCTTGAACTTGCCTTTCCCCTGTTGTGTTGTTGGCATAGGATCTGAACCCACTGTTGTTGTGACTTGCTCCTCTGAACTGTCCTTGTTTGAAGGTGTTGTTATTTTGCCACACACCACTTTGTTGCCCCAACTTTTTCTTACTTTTAAAATCTGCTGGATAACCAACAATTTTGTAGCAATTTTTTTTAGATGCCCTTTATATCCACAATGTTCACACACCAGTCCTGGAGTTTTAGGTCTAACCATTTGTGCCTTTCCTGCTAGTAGATTTAAGGGCTCCTTGTTCACGTCAACTACACCCAAAGTTCTTTGGCTTTCCTGATGTGTAACAATAGCATACATGTAATTCACTGTAACAACATGTCTCCTTGACAATATATTGCTCCTAATGTTGATATAACTCTCATTCGATCCCACCAAAAATTGCAACAATCGTTGAGATTTTAAGTGTTCAATAGAAGGTCTTGCCTCCTCACAGTCATAGCTGGACTGTGGGGCTAATATGTCCAGCTCATCCCAAAAATCTTTCATTTTCGAGAAGTAAGTAGTGGCTGAGTCTGTACTCTGCCTCATTGTTGCAATCTCTGTCCACAAATGGTAGATTCTCGTTAGCTTCGATCTATCGAACCTCTCCTGGAAATTATTTCATACTTTCTTCTCATCCGAAGCAAATACTATGCTAGACATCAATTCACTCGATATTGTAATTTCTATGCATGAAAGCACAATTGCGTTACATTTTTCCACTATTCAGCTAACTCTCCTCTATATCTACTCTTCACATAATTTTCGTCCACAAACCCTAGTTTTCCTTTACCTCGTAGGGCTAATTTCAGAACTCTACTACATAGGGAATAATTCTCAGTTCCTGTGAGTTTAATTGGAATTAGAACCAAACCTGGTGCATCTCCAGCTTGGAAGAATAGTGGATGGTTGTGATCGAGCATCGTTACCTCATTTCCTGCTATTGTATTTCACGAATTGAGTCAATTGAGATTATGCACTAGTCGATTTCTCTGATTCTCTAAATCGAATTTTCCAGTGAGAATTACTCAGATCCTTACGTCGGAGCTCCGGTCCTCACGAACGCCGCTCTGATATCATGTCAAATTGACTGGAGATCAGCTACGAGAAGAGGCCATTGTAGGCAATGCAACAATAGAATATTCTAGAGAGAGTTTTTGTGTAATGTTTCTGTTATTCAGAGACGGAAGAAGGCCTTCCTTTTATACAGAGTAGTTGGTGCTTCTCAGCTGGACTCCTGCTAATCACGTGTTCTTGCATTGTATTTTAACTTCACTTGTAATTGACTAACTAACTCTAATTATAATACATTTCCAACAATTTCCTCATCTTTACTTTCTTAATTATTCCTTTCTTTTCTGACAAACGAAGCATGTAGCAAGTCTAATATATTTTTTATATATATATATATATATATATATATATATATATATATATATATATATATATATATATAAATATATATAAATATATTTATATATAAATATATAAATATATTGGCGAAATACATAAACGACCCTTTAAGTTGTCCCCAATGATCAGACAAACACCTCAACTGACCCCTTCACCATTTAGACACTTCAAATAGGCTACTAAGTGTGTCAAGTAAACACATGTTGCTCATGTGGCATATGCGTGTTTACTAACAATATTGAGCGGGTGAGTCATCTTTTCAGTAGTCAAATCATCAAATTAAAAGATTTAAATTAATTACAAAAATTTCAACAACTAAAAATCTGCTTGAGTGCTTTGTTATGCACTTCGTTCTCGAGTGTTGAAATTAAGAATTGAGTAAAATTTAATTCTTGCTATTGTTCTTGACTTCGAATCTGGAACGAAGTATCTGAAACCCATCTTATATTTTGAAAATATGAGTCTGTGTTCTATCGTTCATCACCGCCCAACATTGTGGAAGAAGCTGAGCTGTTTGGATCTGAAAATTGGAGGTCGAAAACGATTGGATGTTCGAAATCTTTGTTGAAAGCTTCTCTGTGAAGCGGAATCTATAGATTTAGGTCGATTGCAGCTGATTTGATAGGCTTTGCTTCGAAATTTTTCGAAGTCAGTTAGAAGAAGATGATGGCGGGGTCTCTTCGAAGAAGACGAAATTTCTGGGTCTGTTCAAAGTCTATTGAAGAAGATGGATCAGTTCGAAATTTTTGGGTCTGTTCGAAGTGTACTCGAAGAAGTTTGTTTGACGACTGATATTGGATTTGTTCAAAGTCTGTTGAAGAAGAGGAATTTTCTGAAATTGAGTTTGAAGGATCGTCCCTCCGAAATCATCCCTAGCCAATTACAGTTGCTTTTAGTTGTTTGGGAATGGTTTTGAGAAAATGTGAAGGGGACGCAGATGGGGAAAGCAAAGAAGACGATGATTATTATGTGTGTGTGGGGGGTGGGGTGGGTGGGGGGGAGGTGACGTTGGTTTGGAAAAGTTTTTTTTTTATTTAAACGTATATTTTGTTAATTATATATAAATATGTCAAATATTTGTTACAAAATTTACACGTGTCATTATTTAATTGGTTTCATTTAATACATCATTAGCAAGTGTAACTCACACATATATTTAGCTGCGCTCGGGTGTTTATTTGATACACTTAGTAGCCTAATTGAAGTGTCTAAATGGTAAAAAGGTTCAGTTGAGGTGTTTGTCTGATCGTTAAGGGAAACTTAAATGGGCTGTTTATTTATTTCGCCTATTATATTTCTGAGAAAATCTCACTTTGTACCTATTAATTCCAAACTATTTACCCTTTAATGCCCAGGCTCAAACTATTTACTACTCCTACCCATGCTGCCCAAACTATTTACCCGGTTATTTCCCAATAATATGAGGGAGTAATAATTGGAATCACGTGCAGCTTGTCCCTCATCTCAACTGTTTCTCTAACTCTTACCCCACTCTGCTCTTTTTTCATTTGAAGCAAAAACGACAATCCAATTTCAGCAATCAAAAATCCAAATCTTATATTTAGAGATGATATACTTTCTGTATACACCAGTAAGCTTCCCAGTTGCAGCCTTCTGATTTTAAGAAATCATCAGTCTTGAGCACTCCCTGTTATATATAAAAAAAAATCGAACCACAACACTCAGAGGGCTCTCTTTGTGTATTCGATAAAAACAATTCATTGATTCAAACAAAGAAAAGTAGATAATGCTTACAAAAACAATTCTTTCTCTTCACCCAAACTGGTTTTTGGAGATTTATTGTACAAAAATTCAAATACACCATTGAAGGACCTTGAAGCTTGAAACTCATAACTTGGTTTGTTTGAGTTTTTAATTATTTTGATCCGATCCTATATGGGTTTGTTTGGAAAGTTGATTGGAGGTTGTATCTAAAGTTTTAGTCAATTTGGTGGAGATTTTGTAGTAGATTTTAGAAGTTTGGGTTGAAATATAGTTGAACAAGAGAAGAAGACGAATTTGTATTCTATACTCAAATAGTATACAAATATACCATTTTGGTATACAATTCATTGCAACTATATACCCTATTAGTATAGCTATATACTATATTGGTATCATATGCTAGTTGATTCATTTTTTGGTTGTTAGCTGCATTTATTAGTACAATATTTGATTTTATTTTAATAATAGGAATATAGTACAATATCTTGAAATACTTTATTATATTAATTTGTGGTACACTATTTTTTTATTTTTCTCTTTATGCATGTGTGTTATGTAATAGTAGTATAGTCATATAGTTGTCGGTAATTAACCAGTAAAACTGTATACCATGTTGGTATAGTTATATGCCATATTGGTATCATATGGTAGTTTGAACATTTTTTGGTTGTTTTGGCTGCATTTTAAGTAAATTCTATTCTGAAATTATTTATATGAACGTGATTTGCAGTGCTGAAATTTTTTTTGTGCTAATAGATATAGATTATGTGTCTTATGTAATAGTTTTTATAATTATAGGCAATTGTTGGAACGACGCATACACCTATATGCCATGTTAGTATATGGAATGAGCAAGTTGCTTAGCGAATATTTAGCTTGCAACGCGAGCATGTAATTTTCTCATACTGTTATTGTATCCTTTAATGTTTTGGTACAATAGTATAGTCACAGATAGTTGTAGCAATATTCTAGAGCAATCATATACTCTGTTGGTATAAATGTATACCATATTGGTATCATATGGTACTAGAAGTCTTTTTTGCTACTTATATTTTTATTGTATTTTCCAATATTTTATTATTATTTCTATTCTAACTAGTATATATGGAGATTTAGTGGCCTTAGATTATGCTTTCTTGCTCCATCACTGGTTGGTGTTACTGCTAATGGTAGAGTATGTACTGATATTTGTAGGGAAGGAGATTAAGGTTTGTTTAGCAATCACGTGGAATTAGAAAAGGAACAAGAAATAAAGAAAAAAAATAAAAATAAAAAAATAAAGAAGGAGTCAAATTTGAGTGTGAAATAAGTTATGGTAAAAATATCAATAATACGATTTGGGCAAAAATAAATGAATAAAAGAGAAAAAATAAAAAAAAAATAGGAAGAAAATGAGAAAAAAAGAAAGAAGAAAAGAAGCAGCAATTTAGGTGTACCGACACCGCACTCTTGAGCAGTACAAAATGCATTTGTATTATATATTTGCGCTTACCTTATTGGTGAATTAATATTCCAAGTCCATCTCTTTACTCATCTAATTCTCTTTCTTCCGTTGCTCTCAGCGACTTTTTTCTTGCTCCACTACTTCAAGAAGGTGTCATTTTTGGGTGAGTTTTTAAATTCCTCTGGTTTTTCTGGATCTACATGTTCGAGTTTTTTTCACTTTTTATGTTCAGAGTTCTTTCATAAATTTTGGCTTTTCCTGATTTTACAATATATTTGCTATAATTTTCTAGCCTCTATTGCGTTTGTTAAGTCTAATAAAGTTTTACCCAGGCACGACAGCGGGCAGTGACGGATCCATAATATTTTATAAACGGTGCCAATAGTTTTTATAAAATAATAATAAATGAATTAATTCTATAATGACTGGGAGTATTTCTATTCTTCTTCTCATCTATATTTACATATTTAGTAAAGAAATACGATAGAGGCTCTCGTGATACCGCACAGGATAAAGTGTATTTGTTCCATATGGCAAGGTATATATAAACTTTTACTGAATTTACTAGCTTTAAATTTTGAATTTATCGTAGGAAGTCTCATTCTCTTTACTTTGGTCAAAATTCTTGCGGGTTCGGAGCTGCAGTCATCCGGTGATTCGAAAAATAATATTTTGGGATTTTTGGGAAACGAGCATAAAGGTAAAATTTAAGAAACAATGATAAGTTGAGAGATAGCTGTGTTTTATGCAATTGAAAAAAGTGTTTTTATTTTATTTTTGTGGACTTCAGAGAGTTTGTACCTATCCCAACAATCAACGCTCAATCTTAACCTCCGTTTGACCATAAATTTTGATTTTATTTTTTCAAATTTTTCTTTAAAAATATTACTTCCTCCGCTCTAAAATAAGTGATTTTTTGGCCTTTTATTTGTGATCCAAAATAAGTGATTTTTTCATATTTCAAGAATGAATTAATTACTTTTTTCCTACATTGCCCTTGGAGTAAATAACGTTGGAGTATGTGTTAGGAGTGTTTATGTGAAGAGATAGTAAACGTTAATATAGTCAATTGCAATGCTAATTAATGTTAAAAGGTGAGTTTCTTAATATGTGTGAAAACAACCAAAAAATCACTTATTTTGGACCGGAGGGAGTATTTGTTTCTAAAATATGATTATGTATTGGAAAAAAAGTTCCAAATTTCAAGTTCCTAAAAAATGATTTACAGCAGTTTTGGGGTGAAATTTTTTCTTCCACTCACAAAACATCATCTTCTTCCAATAAAATACATGCCCAAACACATCTTCAATCTTTTTTAAGTTTCAAATTTAAGACCTGTTCACATATGCAAAACCAGTCCGTACCCCAACTTTTATCGGCTTTTACTTTGGCCAAAATTCACTTTAAATGACACAAAATTTGATTCTTGATCCTTCTCATTGAGACTTTAGTGTCACCATATCTCTCAAACACATCTAGCTTTCCACATTTCCCAACAAATCACCATTAGGATGGTTTATAGTAAAATTTGGTGAATGAAATTTTGAGATTTGAAGCTCCACCATTTCTGCAAATATGATCTCATCCGACTGCTTTTCCATCTACTACCCAAGGGACTACCAAAGTACTTCCAGAGAGTACTAGCAATGTCTCCATTCATAAAGGAATGTTGAATGGTTTCCACTTTGAGGAATTCTACAACAGAAACATTTAGATACCAGGTTTTGTTTGAACTTGTATAGGATGTCATCAAAGGGTGGTTTGACATCATGACATCATGAAAGGTATGTATTTGTTCCAGATTTTCATAAGCAAAATATTTCCTTTTTGTTTTGCCTTAACAAAGCCCAAGCAGAAGAGGTAGAAAATATTCCATTGTTATTAGGGGTCCAAATAGGTATATCCTTCTTATCTTGTTCCCCAATATCAATTGCAAGAATATGTTTAGCTAAGAATTCTGGAAAATGCATCATATCAATGTTTCATACCCCATTGTTGATAATGTCAGCAACTCTAGTATCCATAGGAGGGTCTTGCATGTGAATAAACTGAGCCACTGCCCCCATATTAGTCCAGTTGTCCCACCATAGCTTGCCGTTTCCACAATTAATCTTCTATACAATGTTGTCTTCCATCATGTCCCTACATTTGAGCATCTTTCTCCAAATAAGAGATTGGGTAGGCATGATTTGTTTAGCTATAGGAGATGTGAATCTACAGAATTTAGCATTAAGAAATTTGGACCAAATAGAGTATGTGGTCCTAAATTTCCACCATCTTGGACCGGATGGTGTATTAAATACAAGTATTAGTTGAGCACAAACTTTAGAAGATTCGCCGCTCAGACAATAATCTGGGCTCTGAGATTAAGGCCATGATCATATAATTCTAACACTTTATTAGCCACAAAAGAAATCTTCATCTAGTTGACTTACTTGCTGAACAAGAAGTGGCAAGTTGGGTGTATTAGTGGGATAAAAAGGCATGACACGTGGACTATTATCAAAGTGACAGGACATGAAACGTGGACCATCAATATAGCGACAACTGGCGTTCTTAATTAGACAATTTAAAGAATACGAAAAAGGTACAGGAGGAACACCCTCAGGGTTACACTGAGAAAATAACCGGACCTGACAGCTGTAAAAGGAGAAACAGGAGCAGATGAATAAAGGCTGTTAAGAAGGGAAGATGCACGGACCTATCATAAATAAGGGAAGGAATTCGATACGGTTACAGGAAATCTTTAGCTATAAATACTTCCGTTATAATTGTATATGGTAGCGGGTGATCAAGGCAATTAATGCCATTAGTAAGGCCGAATTAAGTAAGAAAACTTTTATAATTGTATGCTCCTATATAAGGACTGAAACCTCATTTGTAATATCATCTGATAATTATTGAAATTTATGCAATCATTCTTTGCTTTATTCTCAAGGTTCTAAACCGCAATTTTGGGAGTGATTATTAAACTGTTTCATATGTTCTTTGTCAATTATTTCTATTCCATGATTTATTCTTCAAATTATTGGGGAAGTGAAGTAAATCTTGGTTATCAGTAACCCGATTTCTTCTTGATATTGACTTTGAACGAGAAATCTATTTTTGGGTTAAATAATTTGGTTCCGTTACCGGCAATCTGATAATCTGTTCACTTTTTAAACTTCATTTTTAACGACCAAATATGTCAACCGTTAACGAGAACAACCAGCTGAACCAACAAGGTGGAACTCCACCACACCATACACCTACAGGATCCCCTCGGCAATCTTGTGAAAGGTCACCTGAAAGGTCTACTTCGCGCGCTGATGATCAGCAGGGAGACGACCAAACCGTGGAACAGGATAAGCAATTAGTTGCAAAACGCGTGAACAGTACACTGTAGGCTTTTGTCAGAGGATTACCCAATGCAGCGTAAACTCCTCCACCAATTAATACAACAACTTTGGAGAACCCGTGTTTGGGGATTGATAACTCTGGAAGTGGCGAAATTCCCAATGAATCTCGCGATGGAGGATCAGGTACACCAAATAATTCTAGCTTACAAAGTTTAGTGCTAACTTTGCAGAAACAGTTGAAGGAGCAAAATGATCGTGTAGAGCAAATACTTGGCGTGCCTCCCGTGATCAAAAGTGTGGACATTGACAAGTATTCACAGCAACCCTAGAAGCCAAGTGCAACACCTTTACTAATTCCCAAAAAGTTTAAAATGCCTGATATTCCCAAATATGATGGAACAACTGACCCTCCGGATCACGTAACCGCATTCACTACCGGCATGAAAGGCAATGATTTAACCAAGAAGGAGATCAAAGAAGTTTTGGTTAAAAGGTTTGGCGAAATACTCACAAAAGGAGCGTTAACATGGTATTCTCTTTTACCTGAAAATTCCATTGATTCTTTTGATGAGCTTACAAATTTATTTAAAAAAGCACATTCGGGGCTCAAAAAGTTGAAAAGAGGATGGAAGACATTTTCAAGGTTAAACAAGGGTGTACAGAATTGCTCGGAGAATTCCTAGATAGATTCCAGCGAGAGAGAGAATGATGTTGCCTCAAGTACCTGATAACTGGCGGCTATGGCATTCACGAGAAATTTGAACGAGAAAAGTTCAGAAGCCACGAGGAGGTTGAAAGAAAGTTTGCGAGAACTTGGGTGCAACAACTTGGAGCGATGTGTACAACAGATACAGTACGAAGCTGCGGATAGAAGAAGATACGATCACACAGCCGAGGGCCGAAGAAAGACCAGGTTCGAGACGCTCAAAATCAGAAAGGAGGTCCGATAAAAATAGGTACGAGCCATACATGAGACCCACGGGGCGAGACTCTTGATCTAATTAGGAGAATGCACGATTTGATTCAAGATCAAGACAAAAAGATGTGAGTTCTTCATCTAGGTTCAAAAAGGAGCAGGACGCCCGAAGTAATAATCCTAGTACACAAGCAAGAATAGGGGATTATAGCTTTAACATTAGCACATCTGAATTAGTGGATGTTTTAAGATGTATGGGAGATAAGGTGCGATAGACAAAAGAAATGAGATCAGATCCGAACAAAAGAAACCCAGATTTCTGGTGCGAGTTTCATAATGATCATGACCATAGAACAACAGATTGCAGGCTTTTGAAAGGAGAGGTCGAACATTTATTAAAACAACGCTATCTTACTGATCTGTTCAGCGAGAAAGGGAGACAATCATACATTAAGAACAGACAAGAACCTCCAAAGCCTCCATCACCAATGAGAACAGTCAACGTCATAACTGGAGGGGATGAGGTCAATGGAGTAACATATACAGCCGTGAAAAAGACATCAAAAGTCAATGTCACTTATGGAAAGGTAAGCCAAGTCTTGGATGGCGGCAATATAACATTCGACGATGAAGACGCGAATGGCTTGATGATTCCTCACAATGATGCAATTTAGTATCTTTACTTGTACATGATACTAATGCAAAACGAGTTTTGATTGATCTAGGTAGCTCAGTAAACATAATTTTACTGAGGGTGGTAAATGAAATACTAGCTAATGATAAGGTCATACCAAAAGCACGGTCCTTGTCTGGGTTTGATAATTCAAGCGTTATTACGACAGAGGAAGTTGAACTTACCACATTTGTAGAAGGGTTCATCAAGGATACAAAGTTCCAGGTGATAGACGCGTACATGTCCTATAATATAATTCTGGGAAGACCATGGATTCATTATATGGATGTTGTCCCATCCGCATTGCATCAAGTTATCAAATTTCCTTCACAATGGGGAATCCGTCGAATCCGTGGAGATCAACAAGCTTCATGAAGTATCAATTTAGTGGTAATTGCGAGCATAGTAGCCAATGATGCAGATGCGAAATAGCAATAACAGAATTCAGTTGAGGACATGCACTGCTGTTCAAACCTCAACTGAAAACACGCAAGGGCAGACTGATGTCAACTCGATACCCGATGTGGTTCAAGATCTAGAGGAAAATAAGAACATTAAAACAACCACCGAGGAGCTCGAAGCTGTAATACTATCTGTCCACTGACCAGATAGAAAAGTTTACATCGGAGCAAGTATAAGCCCAGAGATGCAAGGTAAGTTAATTGAATTTTTACGTGCTAACGTAGATTTCTTTGCTTGGTCGCATTAAGATATGACAGGTATACCATCGGAGGAGATGACTCACATATTGAATGAGGATCCATTACACCCACATGTCAAACAAAAGAAAAAGAATCAAGGGTCCTCGAAAAATCAAGTGATCCAGGATGAGGTACAAAAGCTTTTGAAAATTGGTTCAATATAAGAGGTAAAGTACCCTGACTAGTTAGCTTATACCGTTGTGGTTCCAAAAAGAATGGAAATGGCGAGTTTGCGTAGACTATGCTGATTTAAATAAGGCTTGTCCTAAATATTCATTTCCTTTATCGCATATAGATCAGTTAATTGATTCTACCGTATGTCATGAGCTTCTAGGTTTTTTAAAGGCATATTGAGCACATAACTAGATAAAAATGGACCTTCTACATGAAGAAAAACTTTGTTTATCACAAACAGGGGGACTTATTGTTACAAAGTCATGCCATTTGGCTTTAAAAAAGCTGGAGCCACATATCAATGATTGGTCTAAAATGTTTCAAGAACACCTGGGGAAAACTAGAGAAGTCTACATAGATGATATGTTGGTTAAGTGAACACAGGCAAGGGATCATTTTCAACACTTGTCCGAGACCTTTGAGATTCTCCGCAAGTATAATATGAAGAGTACCCGGAAAAGTGCACTTTTGGGGTAGCTTCAGGTAAGTTTTTAGATTTTCTTGTTTCTTACAGAGATATCAAAGTAAATTCCGCACAGATCAAAGATATTGAGGAAATATCAGATATACTCACGAGCAAGAAAGATGTCACGACCCTAAACTCAAGCTTCTCGTGATGGCGCCTATCAATAGTAATAGGCCAACCGACTTCAACAATACTACAATAATTCATTAAAAGTGATGCAAAAAGACATCATGTCTAGCAGAATTTCATAAAACAAAACAAGAGTTGAACTTAAAATAGAAGTGCGGAAAGTAAAGCCCCAAACATCGGGGTGTCACTAAGTCATGAGCCACAACTACAAACTATTTTGATAATAACAAGACTAACATAATCTGGGAAAATCCAAAATACAACTACGGGGAGGATAGGAAGAAGAAAGCAGGGCTGTGATCGCCAGGCAGCTACGTTACTATCTCCAGTGATCAACAACAAAAGAATAATCAGCAGCCGCTACCGTGGCCAGAGATACCTAGATCTGCACTCAAGGTGCAGGGGGTAACGTGAGTACACCAACTCAGTAAGTAACAAGTCCAAACTATGGACTGATAGGTAGTGGCAAACCTAACCTCAACAGGTAAACAAAAGTAAATTGCGTAGAAAAGTAGGCATGCTTTCAATTCAAGTATACAACCCAAGCAGTAAAGTAAACACATATTTGAACAATGTGAGGTATAAAGCATCAACTAATCTTTACATGCCAATGCACAGAATGTGTGAAATGCTCCATGTACTTCCACTCTCAACTGCTCAACCACTCGATACTGTATATGGCCATCCGGCCCAGGGAAGATCCATCCCGGAATATATACACATCACTGACAACAGTCACTCAGTACCGAGGAAGGCCATTCCAGCTTGTGAAGAAGATCCATCTCCAGGTATCAATGCTTCGGACAAGATCCATGTCCAAGGAAGATCCATCCCTCAATTAATATCATCCTTTCCCACTGTGGGTGTGTAGACTCCGGAGGGGCTCCTAAGGCCCAAGCGCTATCATAATCAATATAATTGCTGCGACGTGCAGCACAACCCCATAACTGTCACTCATAATCAGGCTCTCGGCCTCACTCAGTCATTAACCTCTCTAGTCTCACCACGGGCTCACATTGTCAAGAAAATAACCCGGAACAATGATATGATGAATCAACATTAATCGAGACTGAGATATGATATAGAAATGCAAGATCATGACTGAGTATGGAATATAAAGCGAAAACTAGTGAGATGACAACAAGAAACGACCGATAAAGGTCCAAACAATACCGGCACAAGCCTAAACATGATATATAACATGATTTACAGCTCAACTACGCTCTCACATGATCAAAACATGGATATCAACATGATAGAGTCACTACACGGTGCCATGGGATCACCTAGGACACAATTCTCCTGGTGCACGCCGCACGCCCGTCACTTGGCATGTGCGTCACCTCAGTACTAATCACATAACACATAGTTCGGTGTTTCGAATCCTCAGAACGAAGTTTGGAAGCATTACTTACCTCAAACCAAGCCAAAATCTTACTCCGCGATGCCTTAGCCTCTCAAATCGGCCTCCAAACGTCCCGAATCTAGTCATAAGCAATACAATACAATCAATATATGCCAAGGAACCAATTCTACAAGA